TTGTTTAGACAAAGATTTAGTAGTTTCCAATAAAATTTATTGTTTTTGTTTCAATGCTTTATATTATTTCAAATATAGTTTATAAAATAGTTTTATTGATATAAACAATACTCATATTTATCAGAATAAATATATTAAAAATTGACAAATTTATTAATTTAGAAACTATTAGATGTTTGTATAATTTGTAATTATTTATTCATACGATCTAATTTTTTGGTTAAATAAAAATAATTTTTTCCTATAAATTTTAGTTTACTAAATAATTTTTTTCGGGTAAATGAGAAGCACGACCGCTTTCCTCATTTTAAAAGTATTAGATAGATTCAACTTTCTCTATCCTCTTGGCAGTATTATGGGAGATGCACAACCACTTTTCCTAATTTTATTATTTTTGGCCTTTTCATAGTTTTACATTAAAGACAAACTATTTTGCATGTTATGTCCAGTTATGTCTATTCTAGAACTGTATAATTTTTTTTGCAAACAATTTTCTACCTAATTATGTCCATTCTAGAACTGTAGATTTTTGTTTTTTTTTTTGCAAACAACTTTCTACCTAATTGTATTAAGAGCAATTTAAAAAAATGCCAGTTTTCAAGTGTCATTTTACAAAAATACCACATTTTTAAAATCTTTACAAAAATGCCCCATTTTCAAATTTTTTTTATATATTATATATGTTTGAGTTAATATGTTCTATTAGGGTTTAGTTATGAATTGTTCACTCATACTTTACAATAAAAGAACGACACTTCCTCATTAATCACAATTTCTTCCTCACGTAAGCCGCGATTCCTAGTAAACAACTCAAATATATATTCTAATATTTTATAGATACTATTGAAATATTTAAATAAACTAAAAATAATAAGAAAGAAAAAGGAAAATCTTTTTAAACAACTAATGTTGAACATATTTGAATAAAATTAAACTATTTTTAATATATAATTAATATAATTATTTCATTCCATCATAAATTTTAAATGACTTTTTTTATCAAATTAAATATTGCCGAAGTTATTTCTAATATTCGATTTAATTGTCGGTTTAACTTAATAACCGAATTAAAACGAATGAAATGTTGAGTTTTAGATGCCTATTAGATTAGGCTTCATGTTTTTACCATTTTTCATCAATTTGTTTTTTTTATGATATTTATTTGGATTCAAATTCATTTTCATATCCGATGTGGGACTTTGAAAAATATTATTTTTATACGTATATAAATAAGAAAATTAGAATATGAAAAATCTCATTGTTAAGGATACCATAAATCTCGTGTTTATTGGTAATAAAATATTTTAATTGCTAAAATTCTGAACGCAATTATTATTGAGAAATTTTAAGAATTACCACTTTTCAAAGGCCACTTTTCGAAAATACCACATTTTGAAAATCTTTGCAAAAATGCCACATTTTCAAAATTATTTTTTCATTATAACATTTATGTTTGAGTTAACTATGTTGTATTAGAGCTTAGTTTTGATAGTTTTAGAGGTTTTAGGGGTCAAACCATATTTTAGGGTTTATAATTTTAAGATTTAGGTTTAAAAAATTCATAATTAGTGGTATTTTTGCAAATAAACATCCATAAGAGCATTCTTGCAAATGTACACACCAAAAATAACATTTTTGCAATTGCCTCATTATTATAATATGAGTTTATAGAAATTTTAAATAAATTATAAATACTAAGAAACAAAAACTAAAATCTTTAAAAAAATTAATGTTGTAAATATATGAACAAAATTAAATATTTTTTATATAATTAATACATTATTTCGTTTTATCAAAAAAAAAAATAACTTTTTTTTATGTAGCGCTTATCTATCTAAATGGCACAGTTTGGTACGTTCACACTTTTGTCTAAGTTGTATACAAATCTCTTTCGATTACTGGCAAAAGTTTATTAGTGCAGATTGCGTTGGTTATTGATGCAGATTCTGAAGATTCTAACTTTTGTTTATTTTACAGTGATTTCGCAGTCTATATTAACAATCGTATAATGAATGTAGAAAGATTTCGACTCATTAGTCTTTTACACAATTTGGTGGTCTTATCTTTTTTTTTATAGCGATATAATTATTCAATCATTCAGTAAATAATTGGAATATTGATGATTCAATAAGGGCTGCTGATTTTCAGAAGATAAAGAACAATGTTGACAAAGGAAAACCTTGTTACAAAATGCCTTTTGCTTTCTGAAAGTGATGATTTCTCTGGCATTTTCCTCGATTACCTAGCTAAAGATGGCAAATACTCGTAAGCATTCATGTATCGCAGCCAGAGGATAACAGTGCTAACTAAATTCTGGAATGAAAAAGTGTGAGGTGAGATCATCAAGCCAGTTCCACGAGCAGCTACTTTCTAAAGATAACGTCCATTTCTGACAGAAGTGCTATCATCGGATGATAACTTTGCCAATCCCATATAGACAGGAAGATCACTGGGTCTAAACGAAAAGCTTAACTCTGGAATGCGAACGATCAGATCAACAAATTGAAGATTATGCAGTGTAATCAACACTACAAGACTGTCAAAAATGCACAAAGATCAGCATAATCGTTATCCCTCTTATATACAATCTTGAAACCGTATCCACTTAGTGTTAAGGAACTACGGCTCAAAGGGACTCCTAACTAAACCATGATTTCCAGAGTTCTCAGAATCACTCCTAACTAAAACACAAACCAAGTCACTTGTACCCGGGAAACAAACTTGAACATTGATACCATGATGTATCTGAATACGGAATTGCTTGAGTACAAGATTCGAGAGCTTACTTCTCTGGGAATTTCCATCCAGCATCCTTTCCAAAACTTCATGTAAGAAGCATCCCTGTGATGTAAAATTAGCAACTGGCATTACACCAAAGACATAGTCATTAACTGCGATCAACAAAATCAATTCCCAACGTAGCAAAATTGGTTAGGCAAAGTACCTCGGCATCAATAGACGACAGAACTTTCTTTACATCATCCGCTACAGTTTCACGCGATGTTCGCTTCCTTCCTCCGTCCCTCTAAAGGGAAAATGCAGAAACCGATAAACCCTAAAACCCAATTGAGCGATGAAATTAAGTTTACCTGGCCGACAATCTCACATTGACACCGCGAATTCCGATCTTAATGGCCGTAGCTGACCAACCGGACAAGTGAATGCGAAATTCGATCCATCGACCAGTTGATGAAGCTGAGAAACATCGAATCGAAAAGTCCTCAAGGTGAGAAGATCATTAGTAAACCCTAATTTGACCTGAAGATCAGGTTCTTCTCGAGAAAAAGTCCGCAACAGAGTACCAAGTCTCCGTCTGGCGAAATTCAGGTTCCCTCATTAACGAGTTCCAAGAAGTCACGAGAACGAACCCTTAAAGACACGTGTCAGTCTCTTGCTTCAGCGCAGGCGAGGAGAGCTTATTGTTTGCCGTTTTCTTCTTAGCCAATTGGACTACGTGTCGTTTTCAAGAGGGCCATGATTTCCAAATTATGCATTTACATACCTTATATATTAATTGGGAGCATATCTTCACTAAATTGATTCTCATAATTTAAATATGACATAACATACAAAAAAAGTGACATGACATTATCTATCAATTTAGCCCATTAATCCTAACTAAATTAGCCCAAATACAATAAGAAAATCGGCCAACAAACACAATTAAACCTAACATTATCTATCAATTTAGCCCATTAACAAAAACAAATAAACTTAAAAAAAAACACAATTAAATCTAATCTTCACTATATATATATAAGGTATCACGGCTTTGATTTTTTTTTGATATCAATCCAATCCGCTTTCAAACTGATTCAATTTTCTTGATTTTTATTTTCTTCGAAATGGAATTTCCATCAAAGGTAAAAGAAATTTTAATCGTCAGATCAAATGTCTTTTTATAATTATTATTTTTTGTAGTTTTGGCTTCTTTTTAATATATAGAGGATATCATTTCAGGGACATCCAACCCAAACAATTTCTAAG